CTAGATTGCAGCGCGCGAGGATTCGTCGTCGCGATCATCGTCATCGTGATCGTCATCATTCATTTATCATCAATCATCGTTCGTTACCCGGCGAACGACGAGAGCTTCTCTACATTTTTTTTTCTTTTTTGTTTCATTCGGACAGGGCGAGAAGAATATGGTAAATTTTCTTTTTTTTTGCTTTTCTGATTCTCTTGGTGGTAAAAGATGAGTCAAGTTCGTTCTACTGAGGCTAGAAAAAGGGAAAACAGCTCCAGCGGTGTGTTCACGAGCAACCTACTTTGGTGTGCCTACGGGATTCGAAAGACAGTAGTCGCAGTGGTGATAAAGATGCCGATAAAACATACGGGAGGGACGGCCGTTGTCGATCAACCATCGATCGTGACACTCGCACGTTTCAAAGTTGCTTGAGAAATCTCGGAGTTATCTACCATTGGTCGCGAACGATCGATCAAAAACCTCTTATACGACGGTAACACTAACTTACAAGTAATCTTCATGCAGTTGTTCGAACAAAGATTATCAAAAAGGGAGTACAAAATAGAAGGTTTCCAGAAAATCGCAAGAATTTCATTCTCAATTAGATCAGTTCCAGCAGACCGACACAGTTACAGTATAGAAAACAAATGCTATATCTTAGTTTAGATTGCAAAGAAGTAGCCAGAAAGAACGAGAATTCGCTTGCTCCAGTTTACCAATAACACGAGGTCGCAATTTATCATGCAAGAGGCTCCTAATCACCGATTCCGATTTCCGCGCGGCGGAGACCGGGCTACTCGGATTTTCCAGCGAATCATCGGGACGCGTTATCGCGACGCTTTTCAGCCCGGATCGACCGACTTAGGAACTGGCGAGCGGTGGACAGCAGCGCCGTAATTAGACTCTCGGCTCGCAGGGAGCATCGGAGTTTGAATTATTGCCGAGAGGACTCCCGACCGGAATAACGAATCGACGCGAATCAGTAAATATCGGGTTGACCGATCGGAGTTCGCGAACGGTTCTCATTCTTTTCGCGTGGCAAATCGTCGAACCTCTCGCGTTCCTAACTTCACCGGAACTCGTCATTGATACTTCGCGAGCAAAACCATGAATCCATGGAAAATTCCCGACGGTGCTCATCCTTTCCGTCGACGTTCATCGTCCCCTGTGGCAGGGTCTACCGATCATCTTCCAGCAGCCGGTCACGATCCAAGTTGATCGACGGGACGTCGGATGACATACGGTATCGTAATCGGTGCCGCGAGCTGCCTGATCAACTTTGGGAGTGCCTCGTTCGCGACCACCTCGCTCGGTGTAAAGTGTTCTAAGTAACTCTAAGTATCTATCATGCACAAAGACATGCCACGACCGAGGTACGCTAACCGGTTCTTTGCGGTACACGCAAACTGTTCGACGAGAATGCGAACTGCAGTCCGGCAGTTTTTCAAGCAGCCGCCAGCCGACACCGGAACATTATCATATAATGCGTATGTACGTGTATGTACGTGTGTGTTTTGTGTGTCGCTGTGTAAGGTATAGAAATATATATGCGTATACATACATATATTTAGAAACATATGTATATGTGTACACATATATCTATATATAAGTAGTACAGGTGACAGAGAGTTGGAGAGATAGAGATAGAGAGAGAGAGGGACAGACAGAGAGATAGATAGATAGATAGAGAAACAGGTAGAGAGACAGACAGAGAGAGAGAGAGAGAGAGAGAAATTTGAATCCTAGAGTGTGTACGTCACATGCATTCGGCGTTGCATAAAATCGTAAAAGGATCGGATGCTCGAGGCGCAGCGAGGACTTCGCCACTTATTTCGCTCCCGTGGAACTCCGAGGACGGAATGAAACTTTCGTTCGACGACACCGGCTGTGCTCGTGCGTCTGTCGCTTCGTGACACTAGGACTACTGCAACTACTGGAGCAATCAAATTCGCTTCGTTTTAGTTTTCTACGGAGACTCCAATGGCGCGAGGTTTCGATTGATTTCCGACGTAGATCGTGTATTACTAAATCCGTTCATTAGCTCGTTAGACAAGTGTCTGTTAGCTTCTCAGTAATTGTAGAAGCATCGCGGAATGGGCGGTTCCGAGCTGGTCCGGTAGTTCTAGCGTTACCCCTTGCGGTTCCGCGTCGTGGATATTATTCTCCGGGAAATGACATATTGTTAATGGCAACAACTTCGAAACTTTCTTTTTCTCCCGTAGTAGGATTGGTTATTACTGTCAGACCCGGTGTCTTCGCGAGGAAAAGTTTTCAGATGGAATTCGCAGAAGTTCGAGTGAAATGTGGACCGAAGCGAGCTTTCTATTGAATTTCATTCCGTTTTGCGCTTCTTTTGTATTTCTATGTAATATAAACGCGTAGATTTGCAGTGCAATTACTGTACGTCATTCAAAATTCGAAAGGAGGCATCAACGGTACTACCAGCAGATCGGTGAACCTGACCTATTCCTGATTAAATCTTTTGCAATTACCAAGGCGCAGACAAGTCTTCGAAAAATCATTGGAGCTTAGGCGATACCTGAATTGAAATAGAAGTCGATTGAAACCTTAATACGCGCGGGTTTACAGCTTCCATGGAGACATTTGAAAAGTCTATTCAAGTGGTCGGTAGTTCTAGTGCTACACCTGACCGAACGATGCCGTTTTACTCGTAGAATCAAGCGAAATAGTTGCGCAGCCCTCGAGGCCGCACTATACAATCTTGGTTGTCCGCTAAAAGTGTACACGTATGCGTAAGCACGCGCACGGCGGGGCTCGCGCGCGTGTTACGCATACATGCACGAGGTGGGAGAAAAATGCGCATAACCCTCTAAAGCCGTATATCTTACAGCACTCTAGCATTCGTCAGAACTGCAGTGATCGCCAGAAAATGGCAAAGATTGTATTATATGGCCACCGGGTGGTGATGTGTACACGCATCCTGGCCGGACGCGACACGCCTGGCCGAATCGAGCCCCGTCGCGACGCTCGCACCTGAGAGAAGGGAATAGGTGGAGATAGATACACAGTTTCCTTACGAGCACGCGGGTCCGCCTGGGTCGTCTATCTACGGCAGGGCAGCGGTTCTCAACCTAACGTAACACTGCTCACGGCGAGGAACACCGTGACCAATGTTACAGAGTCAAAATGAAAACGTAGAAACGAGGCGACGTACTTTTGCTTCCGTGGAGGATGAAATGGGTAAAAACTGTGAGATGCAAAGTCGAAGATGAAAGCCTTCTCATTGTTTAGCTAACTTAAGAAAATGGAAGGGATGCTGCGGGGGGATTTGGAGTTGAAAAGCCTGATCAAGGGGCACGGGGAGAGAGAGGTTGGGAACCGCTGGTCTACAAAAACGAAACGGAAAGCTGTAGGCTACTGGTGGAAGCTGAAACGTCTCGGTCTTCCCAGAGGAGTCTTTCTTTAGAAGATAAGAGAAGGGAAGATGAGACTTCCGTATACTTACTGGGAAACGATCACGGGCGAGGGACTTTGACTTTTCCGCGCGCCTCGGAAACACTGGGTCTCGCGAAGATTCAACTCGATTTCTCTTCCGTACCATTGATTCGATCGTTTCTTTGGCACTAATCGAGGAAGCAAAGACTAACGAGCCGATCTCGATACGTACGCACAGGGGGTGTTCGTTAGCGGTATCTCTAGATTAAGAAACTCGAGGGTTCCCCGAGGAACCGACGGCGTCGATTGGCCGATTATCGCGAGCGTGCGATGCTGTTAGCCATGATCATCTCCGAGTCGATCGAAACTTTGGGTTTCTCGAGGTGCGACGACAAGAGGCGGTCGGTCGAACGACGCCTCGTTGCCGGCGGCCACGAGCTCTATCTATCGATCTCGCCGACGAGGATCGTCGCCGTGAGTGGTCTATGCATACTGAGTGGTCTACGTGCGCGTCTCTACGGTCCCCTGCGGGGGCGGGGTCTTGATTCGGCCAGGCGGGGGTGTTTCGTGGACGTGCTGTGAAAATAGAATTAATATATATATATATATATATATATATATAGATAGTAGTATATATATATCAGTTGTCTCTTTCAAGCGTGTGTACAGCGATTGCACATCCGTGATACCCTCTCTTCCGACGGAGTCTTCAACGATTTCGTTCGAGACGAAAAAAAAGAGCAAAAAGTGGCGAGGTCGCCCGAGATCTCTCGAATGAGGGAAATTTCCCAAACCCGATCTATGAGACGCGAGAAAAATCACGCGGCTGTCCTTCAAACGGTTCGCCGCGGAAAAAGAAAAATGTCCGTCGATCAACGGTTCCAACGACTGTTCTCGCGCGGGTAAATCGACGTACCGCGGTTGTGTTACAAGAACGTCCGCGTGTATATTATATACATATAATGTAAAAAGTCACAGTTGACGAGTATAATAATAATATAAGAATAACAACAACAACAATAATAATAATAATAACAATAAGAATAATAATATATATGTAACGATATACAATAATAATAACGATGATTGAATATAATCATAATGAGAAGAAGAATAATAAATCGAATCGATCGAACAGTAACAATTAAAGTCGATAAGATTAAGTAGTTCTCTATAATATATATATGCATATACGTATATATATGTATATATATTATATACAACCAGAGAGTGTTCGTTCTCGTGATCTTTAAAAGGTTACACATTCGTATCGCTGTCCTTTATCTTTTCATTTCGTTTCGTTCCGTTCCGTTCCGTTCCGTTTCGTTTCGTTGCGTATCGTTCCGTATCGTTCTAGTTTCGTTCTCGTTTCGTTTCGTTCGTTCGTTCTTTCTTTCTTTCTTTCTTTCTTCAAGAGAATTCTCCAAATATAATTATTATACGTAAGAAGTAGCAAAGATGGCAATAAAAAAGAATGAAGAAGATAAATAAATACGTAAGAAATGAAATTGCCTAAAACTGGGCCAGGGCGGCAGGACGTTCACGGTGAGCTCCTCGTCGGAATCCTGCTGGGACCGTCCGTTTGCGGCCCTGGTCACGCCGATCTGGGCATCCCCGTCGGTCTTGAACCTTTTCGGACAACAGGCCAGCCAAGCAACGATCAACAATCAACAACAATTTTACCACTGAGATATACGATTTTTGGAAT